TGTTGAGAATAATGCGCTCAGTCTGCCATCAGGAATGGTGAGTTATGGTCAGGCGGTTGCCTCCTGGAATCAGTATGCTGATGCCAATAATCTCACCCCGGAACAGAAGCAGGCAGGACTGGATAAACTTGCCAAAGGAGAGTTACCTGAAGGTGTCAATATAAGTAAAGTGATAGTTGATGGCTATAAAGATGGCGTATTGATTGCAGGTGCCTGGTATCTGGGGCCTGCAGCATCCGTCGGGAAAGTGATCGGTGGTGGAGTTATTGCTGAGATAGCTAACGGAACATACCAGTGGTTTGATCTGAGTCAGCCGGGTAATGAGAACAAAAACTGGGACTGGAAAAGCAGTGCCAGTGCAGGCATTACTGGTATGCTTGCACCGGGAAGAACTGTTGGACAAAACGTAGGAATTGCGATGGGCAGTGCATTTTTTACTGATGGACCGAATGCAGGAGCTATTGGAGGGGCTGCCGCAGGTGCATGGGCCGGTGGATTATTTGGGGAATATGCACCTGGAATTGTAAATTCTGTTACTGGAAAGGAAATTCCTGGGTTTGTTTATGATTATTGGGGAGGGGTTGCTTCAGAGTTTTCATCTGGATTTATTAAAGATCTCAATAAACCGAAAGGTTCGTCAGAGGATAAGAAAAAATGAAACAACTATATAGTTATGTGATATTGTTCCTTTATAGCTGTTTATCATCTATAGTCATGTTACTATTTCTGGGAGGGGTGGTTTCAATCTTTTATTTTTTTAAAGGTGATGGGTTTTATTTTCCTGTGAATCAGTTTAAAAGAGCTATCGTTTTTGGTTGTATAGCAGGAACAGCAATAACATTAGCTACAATAGTATTTAATTTAATAGATAAGTTTAACTCCCGTAAGAAAACGCCATTAGATCCTAAGTGAGATTTGCAATAATCCCAATTCATAATGTTGGGATTGTTGTCGAATATAATATTTTTCCGAACGTAAAAACTTAGGAGACAATTATTCTGATATGCGGAGAATTCCTTTCATGAATATGCTTATTAATAGCATTTTTACTTTTGTTTATATTCCATGCTCTCAATGGTATTGTCTTTCCCGAACTCTAATTTTAACATTTCAGACTGATTGAAATCAATGGGAATAATCCCGTACAATACTTTCCCTTCTGTTTTTGATAAATAAAGCCATGTATTTTGGGCGTTGTAATCATGTGGGTAATTAGGGCGTCCCAAAAGAGATAAAACATCTCTTTTAGTCGTTTTCTTCTCTCTAAATTTATTGAATATTTCTTGCTTTGAGTATTTTCCCAACGTTGTTTCATTAGTCCGATCAATATGCCCGAGACAACCGACTAATATACATAAAAGAAATCCTCCGCTCGAATAAACACATATCTTATTTCTGATAGACATAACCTTTATACTCTTCAATATTTTCGGTTATATACAATTGATTTTCTGAATCATATTTCAGATGAGATGCATAGAGCACGCAATACCCTGTTTTATCTGTGACAGACAATCGAAATTCATAAGTCTCACCTTTTTTCGGTAAAAAAGTATAACCTACATCCTCACAACCATAGAGATACTTGAAACCGATCCGTGTTGGAATATCAGCATAAACATTTGTATCATAGTACGTTTCTTTATAACGATTAGGATCGTTACTTACTTTGGGAAAACCCAAGTCATGCGTTGGTCTTAAAATTACCATATTAGAAGGATCAACGGCACCAGGCTTATTTCCATACTGGCTTATCGTAAAACCTGGCGGATTACCGATTAATCTAACATGAGCTATATTCTTCTCCGTATCTGATGGTGGATTATAGGGGACTTTTCCCCAATAAGTAGCACACCCAGACATCATAGTTACCAGAGAAAGAATGAAAAGATTACTTACTATCCGCTTGATATTCTCCATAATAGCCTCTATTAAATATTACCATGAGTTTATGAAAAATTATGCCATGCTTATATTCTATGTATAACAATATCTTTAAATGATTTGATCACTATCAATATTTGGGGGTTCGTATATTGCTGATGACTACATATTCCTCAGACACTGGATCAGTCTGCTGCTTCGTGAGCTAAGTGAACCGCCTCGGTTTTCTTGGAGAATGTTTTGTCTGTGGACTCAGGCGACCAGATCATCATTTCCTATGGAAGCATAGTTCAACGAGTCGATGCAACGCTGTTTGTTATCCGGATAATCAGGAAATGCATGTGTCACATGAAACGATATATAAAACGCTTTTTATACAAACCCGGGGCGCATTAAAAAAGAGCTGCAGCAATACCTCAGAAGCGTGAGAGTCGTACGTAACTCCAGAACATCAGTAAGCGTAAACTGACAGCTGTATATAGCCATCAGGCGAGAATTGGTCACTTAGGCAGCCCAGCTGTTAAAGTTATTAATGTCATTTCGTAACATGAGGATAAATATGGATATCGTTAACACTTCGCTGCAACATCTTCTGGTCCAACTCCAGAAACAGATGGACGATGAAAATCGGAGCAATTCGCCTGAAGGTATTGGGATTATGGATCTTGGCAGCAATGTTGATTGCTGGCACTGTGTGGCGCTTGAGGATGGAGTGCCACTCGGTGCCGCCACCGTACAACTAGGAAATGAACTATACAAACTTTATGTTGCACCGCAGCACAGGGGCAGACATGTTGCTGAAAAGCTGGTCAGCCATGTAATGGATTTTTTAAAGGAGGAGGGTGAAACGGAAATATCCATCGAAATGACCAAGAACTCTCTTCCTTTCTGGGGAAGAGTTGTTGAGAAACATTCGTTAGAGTACGAACCAATTTACGGACAGCTTAAAATGCTCATAAAGCTGAAATGACGTCACCTTGACAGGTTACATATTACTTGCGTATTACCATGAAGGAGATCGGTGAGTAACCCCAATCTCGATAGATGTTATCGGATTGGGTGATCTCCTTTCATGAAAATACGCACGGGGCATACGCAGGTGGATATGTGGGAGAATATTTCCTTGTGATATTGAGGCTAGTGTTAGGTAACTCTGCAAGTACTGTTGGTAATATTAGTGGTGGCTTTGTTTCTGAGTTAATAAACTACGATATTAAAAATTATCCAACGCCTACTAATAAGAAGCCAGAACATGAGTAAAAACCTTCAGTATCTTTATTACTGTTAACAATAATCTATTGCTGGGTGATCTTTTTTTAATTGGTTGTGTAGTGCTGTTCATTGTGAATTTCTGGGAAGGAGGTTGTTTCTATTTTTCAGAAAAACAATTTAAAGCAGCCATAACATTGAGCGGGATCGCTGGGGGCTGGGTTACGATCATGATTCTTTGCATGGATAGATGAACGTAAAGCCAGAAAATCTCCGCCATCAGCCCCTAAAGCATAAATTTAATCCCGTCCTCAGTTGGCGGACTTATTTTGCTTGTCTCTGCGTGTGCTTCCGGGCATCTCATCTTGACGCGTTTTTTTGGACGCGCGTCATCGGCGGCGCATACGAACGATCGTGGTCTGACGATGGTTGATTTATTTTGTTGCACAGGGGCGATCGCCAGGCTGGTATCGGAGGCGGGTTCTGAAGACTGAGTCGGGTAATTGCGTCAGGTCGCGAAGTACTGACACGGGTACTGATGGCAGGTGATGAAGTACAGCCCCGGGAATGACTCCGGGCTGATTCAGAGTCTGATTCTCTGTCAGCCCACGTGGTTGCTGGCCTGGCTTGTTCTTGGTTTCGGGATGGAGTTACTTTTCCTCGCCGATCGGGTTCATCCGGCATTAAGAGTAATCGTTGTCTTGGGGATGTTATTCCTGCTGATAATGATTGCGGGCGGTATGTGCCGTTCTCTTCTGTCACGAAAGAAAACATCATGACGATCCTGTTTACACCGCTACATTTGTGGCGGCGGATGATGCCCGTTTTATGATTATTCAGAAAAATGTATTCATCTGCCACGGTATGTTTCACGGCCAGCGCCGGGCAGAAATATCGCTTTTACTCAATTATTATGAAAATTAATCTTTCGTTCATAAACTGGTCACAGATTAGCAATGATAAGCGCCTTGTGTTATCAGTGGTTGTCTTTACCCTTTCTAATCTCCTTGTATCCTCCGGCGCGCATCTGATCTACCGGGTGTTATTCTTTATCCTGGCACTTCTTATTATTAAGGCGATGAAATCGCTTACGCTGCGTTTTATTCTGGCCTTTCCGTTCACATTACTGACCGCGGCAGATATCAGTATCAGTTTGTATTCATGGTGTACATTCGGTACAACATTTAATGATGGTTTTGCAATCAGTATCCTACAGACAGATCCTGATGAAGCAATAAGAATGTTCAGGATGTATGTCGTTTATGTTATTGCGTTTATTATCCTCTTTTTATTGTTCTTCTGTTCAGCAATAAATAAAACGTCCTCATTGCCTTCGGGAAAGGTCACGGTAATTACATTTTTATCGTTAATTACAGTAACGTTATATTCTTCCTTTCAGTTTGCGTTGAAAAAACAGTATCAAATAAACGAAGTTGATCCTTACATAGTCGCTTCCCGGTTTGCCACATATACCCCTTTCTTTAATCTGAACTATTTTGCACTGGCCGCAAAGGAGCATCAGAGATTAATGACGATTGCTGATACCATACCTCACTACGAGCTGATGATTACAGACAATAATATTGATGAATTTGTACTGATCATCGGTGAATCAGCAAGGACTGACAACATGTCCATTTACGGGTATTCGCGCCCAACCACACCAGAGCTTCAGAAACAGAAATCACGGACTGAAACTGTTCACTCAGGCAATCAGTGGCGCACCTTACACTGCGCTGGCTGTTCCTCTGGCGTTATCTGCCGATAGTGTACTGCATCATGATATCCGTAATTACCCTGATAACATTATCAACATGGCGAATCAGGCGGGGTTCGATACCTGGTGGCTCAGTTCGCAGTCCGCTTTCCGGCAAAACGGAACGGCTGTGGCCAGTATCGCCATGCGGGCCAGAAACAGAATTTATGTCAGAGGCTATGATGAGTTACTGCTCCCACACCTGGCTGAAGCTCTGAACAGTAATCCGGGGAGCAGGAAACTGATTGTTCTGCATTTGACGGGCAGTCATGAGCCAGTCTGCAGTAACTGGCCTAGAGATAAAGCCGTGTTTAAACCGCTGGATACAGAAGAAGTCTGCTACGATAATTCCATTCATTATACCGACAGTTTGTTGGGACAGATTTTCGCCATGCTGGAAACGCGTCGGGCATCAGTCATGTATTTTTCAGATCACGGTCTGGAGTATGACCCGACAAAAGAACATGCCTATTTTCATGGTGGAATAAAACCCAGTCAGCAGGCTTATCATGTTCCGATGTTTATCTGGTACAGCCCGACACTGGGAGAGCATGTCGATCGCCAGACGGTGAACAGTGTTTTTTCCACTGCGTATAATGATTATCTGATTAATGCATGGATGGGCGTAACCAGACCGGCTCAACCGAAAACACCAGAGGAGGTGATTACCCGCTGGCAGGGGAAATCAGATGTTTTTGATGCAAAGTCATAACGTGTTTGACTACAAAGTATTACGAAAGAACTTTAATGAAACCCTGGAGTAATTCATTAAAGTAATTTATTTCGCTATCTTTTTCCGGTTACTCACAAAGAAAATATTCATAAAATAATTCCCGGGCTGGCAGCCCGGGATGATTACTATTTTAATGGATTGTTAATCTTTGCATATTCAAACGGGCTGATACATTGTTCGTAAGCGTAAACTGACCGCCGTATGTAGCCATCAGACGAGAATTGGTAACTTAGACGCCCATCTGATA